TCCATTGAGCAAGCAGAACTTGTTGTATCCAAAATAACAGGTGGCATGCCTATTTTTAGCATAATTAGGAAAACCTAATGAAAAGTGTCAAGCAACATATTTCACATTTTTTGTAGCATCATTCTAGCATAAGAACCTTACTCACCAAATTTTACCTATACTGGATCTATAGAAAAAATATGAAAATTCACACAAGATCCATCCATTGATAATAGGAAATTCTATAACTCAAAAACTATACATGCACTAGCTCTGAAATTTTAACCAGAGATTCTACTAAGAAATAATAGATTACCCACAAAATTTCATCATTTTTGGACCACAGACACTCAAGATAAAATTCAAACAAGTTTGCATGTATCCAAAAACACATTTCAACGTCCTATTTAATTCATCCAGAATTTCTAAAACATGTGCTCATATAATATTTTTATTAAATACTAGACATGACCAGGAACTTAACAAAATTAGAACCACAATATTTGGATCTACCAAACTTGAGTTACACATTTTTGAATCTATACACAAAACTGTGAAAAACAATTAAACAAAACAAAATGGAAAACCTACACAGCTACGGGGCCGGCCCAAGGAAACGGCGGCCCGCGAGCAACACTGGCACGGCCCAGACAACGGCGCGGCCCACGCTGGGCTCCCGCCTCAGCCACGGCGACTGACGAGAGGGGCCCACGCGTCAGCGAGATAGACAGGGGAAAGGAGCGGACGGCGGCGTAGTTCGTCGTCGGTGGCTCCTTCGGCGAGGTCAGCGGTGCATCTGTGCTCGTCTCAACATTACGCATCTAGCGGTGCCATCAATTTTGGCTATCACCGCGGCAAGAGGGGTGGCGACGGACACGGCGGCGCACGGCCACGGCACGGCCGGCTTTCGGCGAGACGATGGCGTCACAGCCCTATATGGCAACCCTACGAGCTTCGGTGGCATGCACTGGACCTAGCGCAAGACAAAGGAGGGATGGCAAGGGACTCGAGCAGCACGGCCGCATGCGAGCTCGGCCGGCGGCGGTCATGGCGACCCGGTGGAGCCACCTATGCGGTGATCTCTACCTAGCGCGAAAAAGCGATGACGGTGAGGTCGCGGACGTGGAGGAACACACGGAGGTGCTGTGATTGGGAGGAATCGGACCAAGGCGCTCGGTGGAGGTGGATTTTTGGCTTGGTGGCTTCGGCGTTCCAACGGAGCTACGGCGAGCGGAGGAGGCGAAGGAATGGAGAAATGGAGCGGCGAGTGTGTCGGGCCGGCGCGGGGTGGCTTCAAGACGCGGCTGGCCGTGCCAGGGCATCCATGGCGCGTGGCCTGCGCGCTCAGGCGAGCAGCGACGGGTGGCGCCACGCGGCATCGTCTTTCTGAACTAGTCGGCCATGTTCATTGAACGTTTTCTGAAAACGCGATTCAGAGATCATCGACGGTGACTGACAGAGCAAGTTTGACGGTGATTTGCTCCTAAACCGTGATGATTTAGACCATGCCAAAGTTAACAAAATTGATCATCTATATGTGAACTACAACTCTTATCATTGGAGCTCGAGCTGGTTTGGCTTTGTTAGGGAGATACAAGTCTCCAAACATTGGTACACGAAACTGTACTTCACTTTAGGACTTAGAAAATTTGCTAAGTAAGAAATCAGCATGGACATGTGACTTGTGGGCCATGTTTGAGCATGTTCCACACATTTTCATGAGTTGGTCATAAAACAACTTTTGTTCCTTAATAAATTAGCTACAACTTTTGTAAAGAGTGCACAGCCATGCAAGGTTTCTAAGTTGGTCTTTTGAAATAGTCAAACAGTGACACTCCAAGGGTCAATTCAAGTCAAACCTTCACTTGAGGGCATTTTGGTCATTTTGATCTACATGAACAATGTCCCAACAAGTAACCTAAGTGTAGTTAAGGTGTAATAGACCATGATCAACCACTTTACAAAATTGTTATACCTCTTCTAATGATCACATGTGATAAAGCAACTAAAACAAGCAATTCACTCATATGTTGCAATGCAATGTTTCACATGTTGCATGACTTTGTTGTTATTCTATACTTGTCACATTACTACCATGTTGCCATGTTTCAAGGTATAAGAAACTCAGGTTGCATTCACATGTTACACCATTACTATTCACAACACTCAAGTACGAAACATACACAATTGGAAAATGTTGCATATGCATGTTTCAGTAACAAAGGCATGATTTGATAGATGATCCACATGTTTATGAAATGAAATGCAATTAGTGGAAGCCAAACACCTAGGGTGTTACATTAAGTCACTCACACCCTCTATGGTGTCTTGAGTGCAAAATAAAAACATATCATATACCTTTGTTTTGATCTTCTCGGTTTTTGTTTTTCTCTTTCTTTTTTTCTAAGTTGAGCTTGATCATCTTCATTTCATATCCACCTCCATCACCATGGACCTCATTTTGCTCAGTCACTTGGATTGGACCACCTTTTCTAATTTACACACTTAGATCAAAGGTTAGTCCTAGGTTTCATCAATTATCCAAAACCAAACTAGGGCTTTCAGTTGGGTGGCGTTTTTGTTCTCGCTGTCGGTGTGGGGCCCATGGGTCTCGCTGCCACGCGTCATCCCCTCCGCTTCGGCCTTCGAGCACTCGTCCACGTGGGCACGCGTGACCCGGCAACCACGTCTACTCGGACCAACCTGGCAGGGACAAGACCACTGCCAAGGTCGGCGGCAGCGTCACCACCGGCTTCCCAGGCACCAGAACTCGGGTGGCAATGGTGGTGGCATCCCGTCGAGGGCTCGGAGGCCCCCCTTTGCTGCTCGACTAGCCGGTGCACGTGGACGTGGGCGCCCCTGGTAGGCGTCCTCGTCTGGCTCGGCAAGCCTTGATTCGACGCCCTGCGGGCATGTCGGTGGAGGGGCTACGTGCCCATGGGTGTTCTTCTACGCGTGCGTGCATGGCGCGCGTAGTTTGCCTGTAGGCATGCCGACAGTGGGGCTGCGTGCCCGTGAGCGCCCTGCCCCTGTGCCGCTCTCTCTGGCCGTCTTCGTCTGGTTAGGGCCTACTGTATCTCTTGACGAGGAAGACAGATCGTTGTTTGGGTAGAGTGATAATGTTGACCATGCCTATGTCCACAGTGACGGTGACGGTGACGGCGTGGTGGCGGCATCGGGGCGTCACCTTTGGAGATAAGATGAGACGACTATGGCAATTGCTGTCTTGTCTTGTTGGGAGCTCTTGCGAGGGTTCTGGGCGAAAGCTTTTCCCAGTCTTAGGCTGGGCCAGCGATGAGGAATCTCCTTGAAGGCGTCGCTGAAGAACCTCTTGTTGCTTCTCTCCTTGGTTGGCCCGGTCATTGTAGTTCTCTTTGGCACAAGACTCAAGCACTAACGATGATTACATTATGGCATCATCCACTTCCTTGGAGGTATCGTCGATGTAGCTCCTATGTCATGGTGTTGTAGTCTCTTTTAGGCTGTCTCCAACCGGAGACCCATTACGGAACCCAAACTCAAAATAGGTCTCCAACACAATATCTATAGCCTCTCACAGAGTACCTATAAGGAAGACCCATTTTGGGTGCTAGAAGAGGCATAAACCAAATCTGAGTATCCTCTCTCCTGGAGACCTATTTGCAGAAAGGGTTGTCTTTTGAGTCTTGTTATTGGAGAAGACCAAAAATAGGTATTGAACTCTTTCCCTGTAGCGCTACCCAAAGGACTAATATGTCTTGTATTTTGGGTCGCGGTTGTTGGAGACAGTCTTATGTGGTTTTGTGGTTGTGCCACATTTCGCCCTTGTGCCGGAATGTGTTTTTTTTTCTTGCTCGGGGTTTTTTCTTACTCGTGGATATGCCACTTTCTCACGCTTTGTGACAAGGGTGCTGATCCTAGTTTAGCTAGGTAATGGTTTTAGTCCGGTTTACCAAAACTAACCGGACGAAAGGATTTTGTTTTGTGTTCCCAAAAAACAAGGTTGTTGATATGGTTATGCCATGGTATACCAATACAATTCAGGTGGTGATCCCTTTCCACAAGGTGACAGTTAAAAAACAACTTTTAAGTGAAAGGAAAATGAGAATGCGGTAGAATTGCTATTACATCCATTGTAGTCTTGGTTGTACACATTGCTGGATCGAAACATGAATGCATGGAATAAATCGTGCGTGAAACTAGGCTTGAATATCTAGTATAGTCGGCACAAAATGGTAATCCGTCTATATATACGTGGTGTATATGGACCTATTGCTTTGAACGTGTACGTATGTGCAGGCAACATCGATCCAGCTCACATCTCACCATGCATGTTGGACAGTACTGGCGGCTCTACTCAATAATACAGCCGTATGGTACTACCTAATAATACCAGTAGAAAAGGTAGCACAACGTGTCTTTCCCTGTTACGGCTCTCGGTAGCTGCTAAAGGTTTGAATTTTTCTACAAACCAAGTCTTAAATCCATGTGAAAACAAAAATATTGTCTTAGAAAATTAAACAATATCACTGTCAGGTAGTAGAAAGGAAAATGTTTATGTTACATGAATATATACACCACCATGAACTGCAATTCTTGTTTCTGTTTTTTTTCCTAAAAGAAAAAGAGAAACATTTTGTTTCTCTGCGTAGGGGCGTGGTGTATGGAACATCGATCCGAGCTTTTCTTGCAACCGAGATCGAGATCCCGGGAATTATAAATAATACAAGTATAGAACCATGCATCGGGAACATATACGATAACCTACTAGTTAAACAATAAGATGTATACCTTCATTCATAAAAGAAGAGAGAAATAATAATGAATCCAAAATTGTAGACAACATCGACCCCGGCCTCCTGCAATTTCTGAATTTCACATGCATTTCACCAACTGAATTGAAGTTAACTGCTGCGCACACACGTACCACAGTGTTCGTCGATCGATACGTGCATCGGACGAGCTGGGCTGCATGCTAGGTAGCTGCATCCTTTTTTGAAATTAACTAAAAGATCCATGCAATGGCATAATGGTTGATGAACTCATGCAGCGCACGCATCAGCGTCGGCGCTAGCGGCGTCCGCACCGTCGTCGGCGAGTTCCAGCGGCGCCGGCGCGGCGCCGTAGACGGCCGCGAGTGCCCGGAGGAGCTCGACCCTGGCCCGGAGCCGCACGATGTAGTCGGCGGTGCGGACGAGCAGTGCCCCCGCAGGCGCCTCCTCCCCGCCGGGCACCAGGCGGCGCAGCTCCCGCACCTTCCGGCGCAGCGCCGCGCCGGCCGCGCGCGACGACGGACGCCTCCCGCCGCCGCCGCTGTCGCTCCCGCGGGCGCGGGTCCTCCGCCTCTCCTCCATGACGCTCAGGCAGAGGCAGCCGCACCGGCGCCTAGCCTGCTAGCCAAGCGAGCTGTTCCGACGTGGCGGGCGCGGAGAGGGCGAGCCTCAGCCCCGTGGGAATAAATAGGCCGAGGCTGCCTGCCATCGCGTCTCGTCGCGGCGTGGCGTGGCGCGGCGCTCGGCGGGGGGTCATGTGAGCGTGCTGTCGCGCGGACGTGGAGGAAAAAGGCTCGGGGGAAAGGCGCCCGCCACCGAGGAAAAAAGCGCGGCGCGAGGGGGCCGGGCGATGGGATCGAGACATCGAGTGGAGTGGACGGACGGCGAGCGGTGGTTCGGCGGTAGGGTGGGGGCGGGGGGCGCGGCGGGGCCCGGGCGTGGACGCCACGTCTCGTCTGGTTGCCGTCGCCCGCACGTGCCCGACAGCTGTTTCTGTTCTGTTGGCTTTGGCTTCCAGAGTGATTGGATCGCTGCGCTTGCGCTTTGGACCGCGGCTCTACGTGGCGCGGCGGCACGGGACGGTCGCCGTGCGTGCGTGGCTGCCGCGACCAGCAGGTCATCGAGGCTAGGGCGCTAGTATCGCCATGGCCAATGGATAACAGCTGCATGGCAGTGGCAGCGCGCGAGCGACCGCGGATCATGTGTGCTAGTGCTACATGTAGAGCGCTAGCGTCCGCTTTCTTGCCGTGCATGTCACATTGTCATCGTTGGAGCGAGCTGCAGACCGTGAGGTAAGAAAGCAGTAGCGAGGCATGAGGTTATATAAATGTGCTTTTTGTGCAAAAACCACATGATTACTGACTTTTTTGTTATTTTATTTTCATGATTTAAATGTTTGAGAACGATTTCTAGAGGCGGCTGAGATTTGGTCAGGTATAATTTGATTTCCTACACCCTAAAATGTGTAGTTTGCGTGAAAAATCATGAGATTTATGATATTTTTTTCATTACTACAAAATTGATTTTAAGCAACCGGAGGATTTTCCTGTAGACACGGCTCAATTTCTAGCCGTTTCTAGCCGCCTCTATGGTCTCTAAATCGAGTCTCTTCTAAAAATACATTTATAGAGGCAGATGCTATGTGTTCTGAGACGTCTCTACAAATGCCCTTATTTTTAGATGTAACTCTATTTTCAGCCGTCTCTAAACATTGATTTCTAGAGGGGGTTCTATTTATAGACGCCTCTAGAAATTGTCTATAGGCAGCTGGAAGTAGCAGCCGCCTTTTAAATAGGAACTGCACAATAAAATTCGAATTTTTCAAATGATCTCGGATGGAGAAATTACCAATACAAAAGTTAATCTTGAAAAGTCAAGCAACTTTATAGTTAACAACCTTTTTTATTTGAAATCATCTATGCAAATAAAATTACTCCCTCCGTTTTAAATTATAATTCGTTTAACTTTTTTGACCGAATATTTGACCACTTGTCTTATTCAAAATTTTGTGTAATATATCATTTTTTTGTTGTGACTTGCTTTATTAATAAAAGTTCTTCAAGTATGACTTAAATTTGCGTATATTTACACATATTTTTTAATAAGACGAGTGGTCAACCTTTCCATAAAAAAAGCCAAACGAACTATAATTTGGAACTGTGGTAGTACATTTGAATTTATCATATTTAACATTCAAAATTTTCAAACGACCTTGAATGGAGAAACAACCAAAACCAAAGTTATAGATCTCAAAAAGTCATAATACTTTGTAGTTGACAAATTTTTTATTTGAATTCGTTTTGGATTTCAAATACTAATTTTGAAAATCGGATAAAGATAAAATGAGGAGGGCGAATATCCCAAATAGACACATATCTCCTACAGGTGGAGGGTGAGGTCGCAGGTTCGAGCCCTCATGACCGCGAATCACATGTGTGGTTGCTTCGTGAGGTCTCCCAGAATTTGAAAATTTTTAGCTGTGAAGCGAGTGTGTGGCTGCTTGGTGGTGTCTCCTACGCTCGAAGCCGCATCTACAAATCGATATCTTGAGGTGGCTCTTGTTCTCAGCCGCCTCTAGGAATCCAATTATGCGGAAACAATTTGTTGAGAAGGAAGAGCAGGCGGTTGGGCCAACCGTCTCTACAGAGGCATCCGAGCTGCCTCTCTAGTTAAAACAATTTGTTTGCTATTTTATCTGTCCCAATTTACAAATTCTAGAAATAGATATCTAAAGGCGGCTACGGTTCTATCCGTGTACCTTCAAAAATTGATTTCTAAAGGTGACGCTAGAGACAGGTAGAAGTTGTGGCTGGAGTAGCTGCCTCTGCCAATAAATCATCTACAACTACCCTCTATAAAGCCTCTTTTTTTTTGAGACGCCCTCTATAAAGCCTCTGTGTACAGAACTAGTATAAAACAGGCACACAAAAGATATTGAATAGAAGGCGTAAAGATGCACGACATGAACTATAACCAGAGTGGTACCATTCAGATACACTGGGCCTGTTCGACAGGACTGAAAAATACTGTTTCGGCTGATTGTTGTGAGAGAAAAATATTATTCTGGCAGAACGTGAATAGTGATTTTGTGAGGTGGTTGGCCAGCCGGCAATCAGCCAGCCAGCCAGCCGAACACGGCCACTATTATCATGCATCGAGGAAATCAGAAATGGCTAATCTACCGCCCGGACGTTCGGCACACCACGCACATCCGGACGCTCCGCTCAAGTGCTCAACCCTCCCGTGTCCGCTTTCACCCCCGCCTCACACACACACACACAGCGCGCCACGGCCCCGGCCTAGTCCGCTAGCCCTTCGGCGAGCTGCACCCCCAGCTCGTCCCACAGCCCGCCACGTCCGTCTTCGCACCGCCCCACCACGAGATGAGCACGCCCCAGCGCCCCCCCTGACCGTAGCACCCCCGTTCGCCGGTCCCCAGCGCCTTCGTCCGCTAGCCCCCCGGCGAGCCACGCTCCCGTCGCGCGCCGCCCCTCGCCTCCCGACCGAACAACAACACAAAACGCTCGAATAAAACACTTGCAACAATATGGAACAAACTGCTGCAACATAAAGACTGAAGCAGGTTAAACATTTTGGAACATATTATTGCAACACTCGAATAAAACACTTGCAACAAGATGGAACAAACTGCTGCAACATAAGACTAAAGCAGGTGAAACATTTTGGAACATATTATCATAACATTTGTGTGAAGCATATGAAATATCCAGATCAGAACGATTGCAACATACGTCTAGAAACAGGTGAAACATTTTGAACAAATGCTTGCAACATGCCTTTGAAATGCTTGCAACATATGCACCATGTGCAACATCTCCCCGATCTACTTCTGTAACATCCATATGATTCAACCGCAACATACCTCTGAAACGTCTGAAACAATTAAAAGATACAATTGCAAGATAGGGGAGAGAGAGCCTGGCGCGGGGAGCGCATGGCTGCCAGATCTGAGGGTGTTGGGAGCTCCCTGTGGGGGAGGACGCCGGTGTCGAGGGAGGGGCGCCGCCGGGGTGGGGGAGGAAGACGCCGGGGTGAAGGAGGCATCGGGGTGAGGGAGGAGGACATCGGGGTCAGGGAAGGAGCCACCGGTGTGGGGAGACGAGGATGCCGCGGTGGGGGAGGAGGACACCGAGGTGGGTGAAGGCGCCGCCGTCGGCCAGGGAGGGAGCGGGCGGCACACGCGATTGAGGTGGCGAGAAGCGAGCGAGCCAGCGGATGAGGACGTGAAGGAGAGAAGCGAGCGAGCCAGCAGATGAGTGTGGTTTATTTTTTAATAGAGCGCGGATGCGTTGGACGGGTCGGACATCTGATAAGAAGCATTATCGTTTCAGAAAAGGTAACACTAGAACCAAAGTTACACTACCATTATTATCTCGTTATAGCACGACCCTGCTTCGTTGAAGCTTCAGTATAACCTGAACATACAGCTGTGATCAACCAAGCGCACACCAAGCCGCAGAACAACCTGTATCCCGCACAAAAGCACCAGGTATATACATACCACGAAAGCAAAGGCGCCTTGACCTAAAACAGCAAAAGGTGGGGCTAACCTAGCAAGCTAACAATGCGAAATAAGCTACGATAAGGGCATATAGCGTGGCGCCATGGACGGCCCCTTGTGCTGCTGGCCGCTTAGCTGTACGTGTGGTAGATGAGACGAGCCGGGGGGGACCGTGCATTTTCCGGTGCGTGTGCGCATGCGCGACGTGTCCGCGCGGCACCGGTGGGTTTGGATTGCGTCGCACACGTACTCTACGTACGCACGTAGACGCTGCGGCCGTTGCAGCTAGCTGGAAACGGGACGGAGCATGCCGCACATGCAAGCACATGCATGCGATGGCTTCGTCACAGTATCAGCGTACCCATCACCCGATCTGCCCGTTCCAATCATATAGCAGCTCTGCGGCCTCTATAGCGCCCATATGTATGTCTCAGTGTCAGTCCCGACTGGCTTCATTCAGCAATCGTATGCCCCTAGCCCCTTATCGTGACCTTTCAACGCGTTGATACCATTTTTAATTTGTTCACATATGAGTACATTCGTGTTGTCTCAAATTAAATGGCATACTATGCATGATATACCCCACAGGTTACGTTTGTGCAACTTTCAAAAGGATCAAAGTTGTTTTACTGTCAACTTTTTTAATACTTGACGTTAAAATAAAGTAAGCTAGCTAATTAACTAAAATATGTTAAGAACATCTTGTTGTGTTATTCTTTTCAATCAAAATAGAAAGGTCGACTATGACATTCTATGGTACGGTATATGTAGACCTCATGAGGGGCAGATATTTTAAAAGAATGTCTCTTATTAGGATTTGAACCCATAATAATCTCTAGCCTCGCATGACAAATCTCTACCATTGCACTACATACTCATTTATGAGAGAGTATAGAATAATGTTATTCTTTTGTATTAACATTTCATAAACTTATTGAATATTTTGATAGCTAAATAATCTCAAATGAGAAAAAAATCCATCAACAAAGTTTAAGATCTTGTCAAGATCAACTGCAACTTTGGTATATATAGGGCGGCCATTATCTGAGATAGTTTGGAA